CGTTTCGTTTACGTTACGTTTACTTACTTACGTTTAGTTCGTCGTCGTTGTAGTACGTACGTACGTACTACTATAGAAGAGAAGTAGTAGGTAGGGGGTTAGTAGTAGTAGAGAGAGAGAGAGAGAGAGAGGGAGATCTATTTGAACTTCTCTCTCTTGATGATGGGTGGTTAGTGTTTTTTTCTCTCTCTCTACAAAATTAACGGATTTTCAGGGGTTAGGGAGGCGGTTTCTATGGCGGTTAGCAGAGACGCATTTCTTATGTGGGTGGTTAGGGGTTTTTTATTTTTACCGCCTCGTATACGACAGCGCTTTCTTAGAAATGGCCGACTGGTTTTCACTTTTTCCCGTACTATTGTTATTTTGGATTCTCGAATCGGAGAAACCGAGGACAATAACCCTATTTTTGCGCTCTGTAATCACCCTCGCGATTTCCTGGCTTACTTTCCCGGCGTTAAATCGTCCTTCCATATTTCTAGGGTTTCCGATTTGGTCTGTGTCTTCTCTCTACAAAGCTTCAATTGGATTAGGGTTTCTTTTCTCTTGTATTTACCAGGCTGCAACTTTCTAAGGTTTGGATAAGGTCCTTTGTGATCTGATAAGGCACTGTCTGGTTTATATGTGCCTCTTAATCAAAGGCTTTGTATCTTTGTTACTTTAATATTTCTGTTATGCTCAATAAAGGCTCTGTATCTTTGTTATTTTTACCTTTCTGTTAAAAATCTGTGCTGCTTTGGGTTTATTTTCCTGTGTCTTTGTAGGTTCTTTTTCTAGGGTTTCTGAGAAGGCCCAATCTCTTTGCTCTTTCTTTTATTCTTTACCTGGTTGTTTAATGTCTTTTATGCAGAAATCCCCTGTGTGTTTTGGGGGAATTTACTGGGACTTATGAGATTCTTTTATCTCCTTTGCATTATGGTTTCTGAACTGCTGTTCTTCCCTGTTTGCTTGGTTTTTGATCCATTGATCTCCTGTTTTTTGGGGTTATATTTTCTAGCTGGTAACTCAGATTCTCTTGTTACTGAAACAGGGGGTTGTTGTTAACCGAGCATGTGTGGGGGCACTGAGTGTGCGAAACCGGTGACCGCCTTGGCAATGGACCCTTACCACAAAACCAGTGTGGACCATGATTCAACTTTCTTATTCAAAGACATCGAAGTAGGCAGCAAAGGCAATGGTTACTCATCTTTGCTCGAGCTTTCTGCCTCCAATGATCTGATCAGCTTCAAGCAGGCTGTCGAGGAGGATGGCTCTGCCATTGATGGCACTGCCCTCTGGTATGGCCGACGCAGCGGCTCTAGCCGCATGTCTGTTGAGCAGCGGACCCCCCTTATGGTGGCCGCGCTCTTCGGCAGCACCGATGTCCTCTCGTATATCCTTTCGGCTTATGAAACATGTGGCATCGATGTGAACCAGGCATCGGGTTCTGATGGTGCCACTGCCCTGCACCTAGCGGCAGCCTCCGGGGCATCCTTGGCTCCTGAAGCAGTGCGCCTCCTTGTTGCTGCCTCTGCAGACCCGACGCGCCCAGATGCCCTTGGTAACCTCGCTGCTGACCTTGTCCCTACTGCCCCACACCTCACCCCTTCACGCCCTTTGCTTGAGGGCTTACTCGGTCGCAAGGCTGAGACTGAGGACCTTGGTTCTGTGCCTCCCCCTGAACAGGGACTGAAATCAAGCGAGAAGAAGGAGTACCCGGTTGATCTTTCACTACCTGATATAAAGAATGGGGTTTTTGGGACTGACGAGTTTAGGATGTATTCTTTCAAGGTGAAGCCGTGCTCGCGTGCATACTCGCACGATTGGACTGAGTGTCCATTTGTGCACCCTGGAGAGAATGCAAGGCGGAGGGATCCAAGGAGGTACCACTACAGCTGTGTGCCATGCCCTGACTTTCGCAAAGGTGCATGCAGGCGCGGTGATGCGTGCGAGTATGCTCATGGTGTGTTCGAGTGCTGGCTACACCCTGCCCAGTACCGCACCCGACTATGCAAGGATGAGACCGGGTGCACACGAAGGGTTTGCTTCTTTGCACACAAGCCTGAGGAGCTCCGGCCCCTTTATGCATCGACTGGTTCTGGTGTGCCGTCACCAAGATCAAACTCACCATCGTCATCACTTGAGCCTCCTATGAGCCCACTTGCACTTGGCTCCCCATCAGTACTCATGTTACCCTCATTTGCTACCTCGACATCTGCTATGTCACCTTCATCTTTGCAGCTCTCAGGGGCTGGGTTGCAGGGCAGCAGGCTGAAGGCAACACGGAGTGCCAGGGACTATGTCACTGATGATCAACAGCTACTTGACGAGCTCTCATCGAACTTTGCTGCTCAGTCTCGGCTCAACCCCCTCAACATTAGCCGGAGCGCCAAACTTAGGAGCCTTGCGGCTGGGGTCTCACCTACCAATCTAGATGAAATGCTCTCTACTGAGGCAGCGCTTGCACAATTGGACGCAGCCATGCTAACACAGCTGCAAAGCCCGACATCCCTACAAGCACGTCAGGCCCTACTTGGCCACAGCTCAACTGGGTCTAGTTCGTCGATTTCCCCGGCCATGGCTCAAGCCATGCTTAACCAATCAACCTCCTCTTTTTCTCCAGCTATGGCGCAAGCCATGCTGAACCAGTCGGGATCATCTCTCGCTCCAGCCATGGCACAAGCCATGCTGAATCAGTCGGGATCATCACTCTCTCCAGCCATGGCGCAAGCCATGCTGAACCAGTCAGGATCATCACTCTCTCCAGCAATGGCACAAGCCATGCTGAACTCCTCCCGCTCGGCTGCATTTGCAAAACGTAGCCAGAGCTTCTGCGACCGCGGGCAAGGTGTGCTCGGGACAATGGCCACATCTCCGCCACCGACATCAGCGTTCGCTGATTGGGGCTCGCCAAACGGTAAACTTGACTGGGGTGTTCAGGGTGAGGAGCTTAGCAAACTTAGGAAGTCAGCTTCTTTTGGATTTCGGAGTAATGGGGTTGTACATGGCGGCGATGACCCCGATGTCTCGTGGGTTCAGTCCCTCGTAAAGGACGGCCCGGCATCTTCAAGGCTTGGCGGTGGGGCAGCAGTGACGGAGGATTCAAGGTTTGGAGGGCAGTTTGTAAGGCATCACCAGGAGTTGCAGAGTGCCGAGTCATGGTTCGAGCAAATTTACATGGAGCAGGAGCAGATGGTGGCCTGAGGCCTCCATGAAAAAGGAAATGTGCTCTCTCTCTCTCTCTCTTAACATGATACCCATGATTCCAATTTTTTGATTTGTTATATTTGTTAATGGTGGAAGGAGAAAAATAGTAAGGAGAGGAGGTTTAAAACTGGATCTCTCTCTCACTCTTATCCGTATCTCTAATGATAAAGAAGTATATCGAGTATAGTGCTTCTAGGTTGGGGAAATGTTTACAGTGGTTTTTTTTGTTCTTTCTTTAATTTCTTCTTTAATTTTTTTGTTCTTGTCTGGTATTGTAGGAGAACATTGGTTGAAGGGGGTGAGGATTTGTCTCTCTCTAGGAGAATCCTGACCCTTAACTTGCAACTTTCAATTATTATATATGTACATAAATATATATGAGTAATGGATCTCTATTCCTTAGTTCAGTGCCTCTCATTTGGTTCTGTTTTGTATGCTTGAGAAATTAAACAAGCACATGCTTCTTCTTGTTTGGTTTATGAGAAATTATATAATAGCAATAACTACATGCTTCTTCCTCTGTTTTTGCGTGCGCAGTCCATGCTTTGTCTTTCATTTCTTTTTTTTTTTTTCCTTTTTTTTTTTTGTATAAATGGTTCTCTCGGACTTGGTAATTGGACTGGGGAATTTTATGGAATTTTTTGGAAGCTGGAAAATTGATATCTGGAAGTTCTAGAAACTTATTTGATAACCCTTTTGGAAGTTCTCATAGAAATCGGGCTTTATAGGTATCTAATAAAGTTTTACCGACATCAGACTTCATAGAAAGATAAATAGAAGGGAGAGAGAGGGCAGACGATTTGGAGAAAATGGACAAGGATAAAGGTGCTGAGAGGAAATGGTACATTTTGAAAGAGAATGAAGTTAGAGAAATGACACGATTAAAGGGAGCAAAGATACGTGAGATTGAGACGTTTTTAGGGAGAGGAGTTGGAGAGAAGGCATGATTGAAAAAGACAAGGTGAGTTAGAGAAAGGCATTTTTAGAGGGTTGAGTTAGAGAGAAGGCGGAAGGCAGGAGTTAGAGATGAGAGGCATAGTTGGGGAGAGAGGATTTAAGGAGAGAACGGACACAATTATTGAGAATGGTTAGAGAGAGAAGATACATTGAGAATGGTTAGAGAGAGAAGATACATTCAGATCGAAGACCTAGAGAGAGAAAAAAGAGCATGGTTAGAGAGAGGATTTAGAGAGAAAGAGAAAGAACATGCTTAGAGAGAAGATATATTCAGATAGAAGAGTTGGAGAGAGAAAAAAGAGCATGGTTAGAGAGAGGACTCAGAGAGAGAGAAACGATACATTATTTAGGGTCTGTTTGGTTCTTTTTAGACTTTAGACCAATGATCTTATCATGGCTACTTTGATACCATAATTACTTATCCTGATCTCGTTTTCTGCCGACCCCATCAGACCCATAGAGGGCTCGGCCTCGGCCCATCAGAGGACCGTAGGGTGTGGGGGGGCCACAACTATAAGTTGCGAACTCCAGCAACCTCCACTTTGGTTGGAGTGCACTCAACACCTTGAAAAGAAAATTTTTTGGTATCAAGCCAACCACAAAATAAACGAAAAATAAAACACAATAAAATGAAACAAAAAATAAAGCACAATAAAATACACATAACTGTCTAAGACACAGAAGGCCCAACATCAACAACAGTCCAAGACACAAAAAGGCCCAACATCAATAACAACAGTCTAAGACACAAAAGGCCCAACATCAACAACAGTCCAAGACGTAAAAGACCCAACATCAAGACATGGGCAAGCTTTCTAGGCTTCCCTACAACATAAAACTTATATACTTCCCCTTATCCAACCCTCCATTCTGAATGGAGGGTTAAGATTGCCCCAATCACAATGTCACGTCTCTAAACTATTTTATTTTTAATTTTTTTCTATAAACTATTTTGACATTAAATTTTGGATGTCCATTCTTCTATTAAACTTGCACTAGTGAAAAATATAAATATTTTTTTCAATAAAATAAAATGACCAAAATACCTTAAAAAGTTTCAAGGGGTATTTTGATCATTATATTTTATCAAAAAATTATTTTAAATATTTTGTATAGATGTGCCCCAATGAGAAGATGGCACATACCAAATTTCATATCCATACAATTTGTATAAAAAAAATTAAAAATAAAATACTTTGAGACGTCGGATCTAAGATCCAACGGTGAGTGACTCTCTTGATCAAAATTGGACGGCTAGATGGTAAGGGCAGCCTAGATCTTCTATGCTATAGGGGAAGTATAGAAACCTTTCCCTCGAAAAATTGGATGGGTAGATGGTAAGGGAAGCATAGATCTTGTATGTTGTAGGAGAAGTATAGAAACCTTTCCCTCGAGACATATTTACCCAATCAATATGGATTATACGACCAGATTGCCAACCAAAAGATACACTACAGAAAATAGAGCTTCAACAAAATGGGGTAAGGAACCCCAAACACGACCACTAAGACACGCCACTCCAATCACGGTTAGCTATTACTTTACATGGAGGAAAAATAATAGAGTGAGTTGTAAAGGCCAGCAAATAAGATCTAGGTGTACTTACAAATATTCTATCATGTCAATAATTGAATAATATTCTGTCATGTCAATAATTTAGTTTTATGCAAGTCTTACAAAACATGAAATCATGCGTCAAATTCATATTTAAACAAACGTATCATGCATGATTTATTTCGTGGTGGAGTAATAACTAATTAGATTAATCAGGTATGATTGTAATAAGAAGTCGATGAAATCATTCAAGCATGAGCATCATAACATATTAAAACATTTAGGCATGCATGTAACAAGCGTAATCAAGATCAAGAGATACCAACTAACTCCAGAAGTAAAAGCCCCACCCATCGGCCAATCAAATCATGATGCGTAGAGCCTCTACCATCACAATCAGGAGAGAAACACCATCAATAGGTAAATCCATTGCGTAGTGCCTCACACACGTATACAACTCCATCGCAATGTGATTCAAAAATTGATAGGCACTGGTATTGGAAGATACTGCCATTTCATGTGCATTTATGACGAGAGAGTGCTACAATACCAAATGGGTCCCAATGAGTAGTGCCTCACATAAGTTTTGGGGGAGCGACTACCCAAACACACACACTTCTAACTCTAATCATATCATAGAGAGAAGTGAAAAAATCATAGCTGCTGGCACAATATCTCATAAGATCATAACAGAAGCATGTCTCCATGCATACATATATTATCAGAAGAATGTTAGTATACATGAATCATATAACAAAAGCATGTCTCCATGCATACATATCTTATCAGAAGTATATTATCATGCATATATCATATAACAGAAGTATGTCTCCATGCACACATATCTTATCGAAAACATGTTATCATGCATAAATCATGTAACATAAGCATGTCTTCATGCACACATATCTTATCGAAAACACGTTATCATGCATAGATCATATAACAGAAGCATATCTCCATGCACACGTATCTTATCGAAAGCATGTTACTAGTGTCATATCAGAATCATATTAGAAACATATTGTTATACATAGATCACATACTAGAGGTATATCATGAATAATTAGTGGCATGTCACATACACATTCTTATAAAGAGATATATCACCTAATTGACAAGAGTCACGCTTCTTATGCATACAAATCATATAAGAAGCATGTTATTAATAATAAGTATCGTCTCAAAGACGTGCCAGGTACAACAATTGGCAGTGACGAGAGTATGGTCCAATCTCGCTAAAATTTTTGGGTTTCCAAAGTGAGCACAGTGTGCTTATTTGGGCATAACTTTAAACTTATCCAATATTGAATTATGGGACTTGCTCTATGATAAAATAGACTCAAAAAAATTATATGACTTTTGTTCAAGAAAAAACACGAAATTATAGACCTAAATGGGTCGATTCACTTGATCATTAGAGAGTGAACTTTTTGCCCTGCAGCAGAAAGCACAACTGTCAACCCTCAAGTGAAAAGGCCCTAACATTTAGAATATGTAGAATTTACTCATGAGGCATAGCTTTTTGAAAATTAGACTAAAAAATGTGCAACTTTCATTTAGAAAGTAACGCCAGAAAATGGACCGAGGTTGGTCAAACTATATGATTCTTTAAGGGGTAGCATTTGTTCTATACAGTAGAAACTACAGATGATATTCTACTAGAAAAATGACCATAATTCTCCGACTATAGAGAGTTTTATCATAATCCCAAAATCAAAATTAATCTAGATTCATTTATTTAATATTTCAAAGTGGTTTCATCTCATTCTAGTAAAATTTGGTCAGTCAAAAACTTCACACAAAAACATATCAAATATCTAGATTTTCAATTCACAGATCTGACATGCTTCAACAAATAGTTAATAACTTTCAAATTACATGCGATATTAACAATGAGTATTTTTCATGTGGAAATACATTCAACATCCTACTGACCCATCAAGATTCATGGTCTAGGCTTAAGGTACCCTAACAATCGCTCAAACGTGGACCACAATTTTGGAAATCAGAATACCTTTTAATAAAATTTTTTGTAGGCATACACCCACACTCACACACATACATACACACACACACACACTTGAATTTTACATTTGAATTAAGCAAAAAAAACATGTATTAACGTAAGCATGAAACCATGAAAAATAAATCTATTTACCTTGCTCCAATCGAAATCGCCAAGATGAAATGTTCTACAAGCTCTATTTCGGTTGCCGAGCTTCAAGTGGATTGGGTTTAAGCTTCAAAGGTTAATGGGCTAAGAGAGAAGAAGAAGAACAAGTGGGAAATAAGGGCACGTGAGGGAGTGAAGGGGCGAGGAGAGGGTGAAACCTAATTATGAGTGGATGGGGGTATATATAAGCATAGGGGAATATGGTGGAATGTGAGTAGGGGTCATGAATGAGATCATTAACACATGCATCTATCATGCTTGGGGAGCACAATGATGGGGGTGGAAGCATGCATGTGCCATATGATACTCAAGTGATTATGCATGTTGAGAGAGAATACATGTACGAGAAACATAATGATGGAGATGTAAGCATGCATGTACTACATGACATTCAAATGAATATGTATGAGGTGAGAGAAAGCATGCATGAAGAGAGAAAGCATGAGAAAGGAGAGAGAGTACATGTGTGTAATCATTGTGTGGGCGGTCATAGATGTTGTAATCATGTGCATTGGAATGGGTCTGTTTTTATGAGGATTTGTGCACATAAGAGTGTGTGCATACATGGGATGCGTACATGTAGCTCAGATTTGTGCGATTTTCATACCGTCGGAAAGCTCGTGATCCCTACAATAACACGGTACCACTCAAAATACCAGACAGAGGTTATCCAGCAAATCGAAAAAGAAATTTGAGCTAAGCATTAGTAAGGAACGATTCAGGAT